AATAATAAACTCAGAAATCTGTTGTTTATAACCACTTTGTCTCTCTGCGAAGGTACTTCATTTATTTCTCAGCTTGATGGCATTAACGAAATATGATTTACAAAGCAGTCAGATCGTAATGTCTTCTACTTCTGCATAAATGAGTTGACGCCAGAAGCATGCATTATAGCTGAACCAAACGGCATATTATTGCGTGAATTACAGTCGAAGCTTTAAATGGCTTTTGAAATTCATTTAACTGATTTTGAAAGCAACCTGGTTTAGGTGAACAGGTTAACTTCAAGATATATTCTGATAATCAGCTTGTTTCTAGATAGAATAATTTGTCATTTTGAATGTTTCTGTTACTTATCCTTGACGGAGAAAACGTATATGAATCTAATAGATAGTCATAAAGATGACTTTTAAAACAGAATTTTAGTTTTTGAATCACTACCCAGTTCCTCCCAATTATGCTTCGATTTCATTTTTCTTCGTAAGGTTTAAACACGCATCCTGCAATCATGTAGACGTATTTGGCTGTTCAACATTTGTCGTTTTACATCTTTAACTAGCGATTATCCACATGTGATAGTCTGATTTATTAAGAGGTTTATAAAAAATTGGGGTAGAGTGAACGAAATTGACAACTGTATGATTGAAGAACAGATCTATTGGATATCTAATGGTCATCTTTGTAATATAGAACTGAATCCCATACTGATCAGTAATTGCGAATCAAATTCCGACAAAGTTCCCTTATTTCTGCGACTAGATAGACATTTCAGGTTTATGTTGCAAATACGTAGTTTTTTTCACACACACAGTTCTTTTTATCCTTTGGAAAAGAGCAAGAACAACGATTCTAGCAGAAGAGCATAAGTTCATGAAAGTCTTTAGTCGGAAGCTACGTTAAAGACATAATAGTACAGCAAGGGTGTAAATAAATTTACTAGACTAAATATTGCAAATATGTACCTTATGTAAAAGAAAATTCTGCAACATTGTGACAACAGTTCAAACGGCCAGAAACAAGTGATTACATAATGAGCAAACAGTGATAGGAATAAAACGAGTAAAGCACTGTTGATAAAATAAGATTACTAATCTGGAAGATAGTTGAAATGAAAACTTAATGATGTAAAAAAAGGTTAAAGAAAAGAGTTTAAGATGCAACGAAGGAATATTTGTCACCAAGACAATGAAAGATTAGTAATCATCCACTTTTGAACACATAAGTCAGGTTGTTGACACTTGATAGCAACGGCTTCAGCAAACTTCAAAAGACAAGTTCGTCTGCCTACTAATCACATAGACAGATTGCAGGGTATCGACCTGATGTCCTGTATCTAAGAGATCTTTAGCCGTTTAGAGTCTTTCTTCTCTTTTTGAGGCTTTTTGGAATGTGCTCAAAAAATCTAAGATATCTTTTCTATTCGGCCAATGTGGTTGCTTTGGCAGGCAGATGTAAATTTATAAATACAGTTGGCGGTAACACGAAAGGGGTACTTTTCAACCTTTCATTGAGTTACTGAACTTGTTTTATACAGAATTAATAGTTTGGCAGCCGGGTAAGTCCTGGCTAGTGCAGTGTTCAGCCTCTCGCTAATTGTGCTTGCGACGTTATAGCTTTTTGTTCGACAAATGTTGTAGAGTGTAATAGGAAACCAGTGTTCACAAGCAAAATTTTCTGATTCACATTGACCAAAAATGAAGGTAAACAAATGACATTGTTTTGTTTTAGGTATGTAATTTATATCGAGTTGCTTGAAGAGAGATTGTATGTAATGTGCGTAATTGTCGAGAATAATCTATCTAGTCTTTTCTTATTAGTCTTGTGCGGAGCGTGATTTGACAATTACTGCTCATAATTAGTGCCTTACATCTGATTCCGGTTAACTATTCACGTATCTTGTATTCATCTGCCTATTTCATAGTAAAGTTAGTACAAAGTATAGTCCGAAACCTGAAATATGAAATATAACGACAATACGTCTAACTCCGCCTGTACGACTTTTATTTTAATCAAAAGATTTGGACTTCACAAATGATCTGACCCTTTTATGCCATACACACGAACAAATGCAGATGAAGACAACTAGTGTAGCAGCAGCCTCTGCATCAGTAGGCTTCAACACAAGAAAAAAGCAGGATCCTCAAATACAACACGGAGAACGCCAACTCAGTCGCTTTGAATAACCGTCTCTCTTAGGAAGTCAATTTATTTTCTAAAACATTCCATGTTACAAGAACTAGTCCCGTTCCTTGCAATAATGGTACAGAAAAGTAACTTTTCTAATGTATTTAATAAGCTTAATTTTATCTATTGATTAAGTCTTCCTCTCGAAAAGTAAACTGATGAGTTTTCCGCATTGCGGATTTTTTTATAACGAATAAGTGATGCATGATTAAGCCAACGCTAATACAAAATTGATTATAAAAGAAATTATACTATTAAGTTGTTAAATCATTGTAATATTTTAAAATTGACTTATTTAAGCAGATAAAATAAAAAAAAAACATTTATTTTATACTCTGTCCCGTATTTGTTCTTCAAGTCATCGGTAATCGATAACAGTATTCAGTAATAACCTAGATAAGTAAAGAAATTTTAGCTAGTTAAAATATGTGTATTAATTCATTATAACCAGTAGCGGAAGTTGGTCAATATATTGTCTGTTGAACGGTGCAATCAGTCAGCTACAATGTAGGACCAGGCACATATATGCATCGGTCCAAGTTGCCATACCTCATTAACACAACAAGATGGACACCGGATTCATAAAAGTAGTTAATTCAATGGTGGTAATATATAAAAGAAAGATTGCAATAAGGATATAGTACAGGAAGAAAGAATCAGTTCGTAGAAAGAACGGTGCAGAAAACCAACGGGATTTCAAAGCTGTTTACAGGAATTTTATTAATACCTTACTCGAGAATTTATGAGAGCGAGGAAGTACTGGATAAACCACTTAATAATATGCTTTAAATATCTTTAGGAATCAGGCGCAGATGATATAAAGTTACTAGTCACAATCTGAATAGAAACAAGGTTTCCATACTACTTTAATCATAATCACCATTGTTAGCTAAATTTGAAATGAAAATTTAATTTCGAGTTGTAATACTATCCTCTTATTACGACGCAGCTACTGCTATTGCTTAATAATATTGGACATTACTCGACAAGTCCCCAAATCAGAACACAGTTGAAGAGGAACGTAATTATATTCTAAATGAAAAGACTGGATGGAAGTAGGAATCATGACGAGAAACGTTATTATATTTATAGTTTTTACATGAGAGGATTTTAGAGTCTTTTCCAAGTGTCCGTTAGCACTGATTGGACAAGAAATAGCCAGTGAGTGTGCCCCAACGTAATCCTGTGCGGAACGTGCTTTAATCCAGTTTATATCCCCGCTAACACAAGTAATTCGACAAAACTGGTATGATATTCGGTTTAATGCAGTCACAAATTCACAAGCTCGGTAATGTTTGACCCGAGTAGTTGCACAACAGTAAGAAAACTAAGAATAAGTATTATGCCAAAAGCCAAACAAAAGTGTACATAACTCATGAGTATATATCTTAATTTACTGACGCAGACAGTGATATGCAGGGCGTGACAGTCGAATCAATAATTTAGTTACAATAACATGTTCACATTTTTATTTCTCACACGTGATCCATTTGACTTTGCGTTAATATTTGATCTGTCTGAAGCCGCTTATTTTGTTAAGGACTACATAGAATATGTAAAATCCAAACAGCATGTAATCCCGCTCTACATGCAGATTACTTAGTTGGGGTCCGCGTGACTATCGTAACCAATGGTTGGAGACTTCGTGACATGGCTCAGAATCGACCACAATGGCGTAGGTGTATACTCTCCTGTTTTCCCTTAAACTATGAGATTAAAATCGCTTCATATCTTTCTACGTACTAATTCTTTCTTCTTGTACTATGTCTTTATATGCAATCTTTCTTCTACATATTACCATTATTGAATTAATTACTTCTATAAATCAGGTGTTCATCTTGCTGTGCTAATGCGTTATGGCAACTTGGACCGATGCATATATGTGCCTGGTCCTGCGTTGTAGCTGACTGACTGACATGTTGCGAAGTTATTGAATATATACAATCCGAATTCACTTGAACTGAAATCCAAGCTCTTCTATCTTGATACAGTTGAATAGCTAGGGAATATGTGGTTTAGACTGGCACTAATATTCAGAATATGAAACTATACTGTGAAATCTACACCCAAATTTCATAAAATATAGCAAAGCTCATATAAACTGTATAAAACCAAGGGGATGGTAATTTTTAGCGATGAACGTGTTCTATAGAAATGATCTATCAATTCTAAATGTCGAAAAATATCGAAACTTCTTTTACAGCTTAGGGTTAATGTGGTATATCTCAGCTGCAAGATACAACTACTAGCTAATACCGAAGTCGATAAGTAAATCTGAAAACAAATCAGTTCAAGAGATTTAAATATTTAGTGGAAAACCAACAGAATTACTCACAGCAACTAAGCGCTCGTGATATACTGCAGTAGACTTCTTAAGGTTATAGTTTAATAAAATACACATTATTGCCTGACGTTTAGCCAAAGGTTTGTATTTGAAAATCTACACAATCAGTTTCATATGTGTAAATACTGTCACAGTGATATTGCAAAGTGGTAACCGCTAAGTTTTGGTTGTGTAAAATGCCTTATAGATAGATGGAGTCCAAGTAAACACACAAAAGTTGGAGACTCAGTTTCCAAGAATTTTATTGCGAAAGTTCCAATATTGCATTACAAAAAGCCTGAAGATAGAACGTGACCATTTCTTGGATCTACCACAAAATAATTGAATACTTGATTAAAAGCATATGAATATTCGGAAATGGATTAAATCAAATCACTTTAAGACATCATCAGCTGAATGATCATGCAGCATTTTCGATCATCAGTATCATATGGTCGAAGAGTGATTGATTCAGTTTTTGAAAATGTGGAAGGAAAATTACTGGCTATTAGTCGAACATTTTGGTGGGATGATTTGTGAATGTTGAACATCTATGACTTCTGGTTGTGGAACAAGGAAAGCGCTTTTTGAATCGGCTTCTATTACATCTCCAATTATCCATGATGGACATCCAATTTCACCTGTTAGCTCTTCACAAAAAGATTGGGCAGATTCTCGGGGAAGAACAATCAACAGACCACCTAGGTTTTGGTGAAAAACTAATATTATTTTCAATAGAAGGAATAATCAAGTTTATCCATAAGTATATCAAACTTAATGCCACAAATACATTATGGTAAGGCATACAAGTTCAACACAGATATAAACAACAAAGCAAAAATAAACAGTACCTGATGTTTCTGGAGAAAAACCTTGAAGTAGTTTTAACCGATCGTTTAATGCCCTGGAAATCAACGAGCTTCCTTCAAGACACGGCAAAGTATGAATGCTGAAGGCTAAGTGATTGTTTGCCTGAACTTGGACTAAATTATTTGCATGACCCAAAAGACCGAAACCTGTTACGTCAGTACACCCGTGGGCGTGATGTTTATGCATTAGTCGAGCAGCTACAATAAACAATTAAAATATAAGCTCTTTAAGAACACATCATTACATCCTAATTTTCTATATGTATATGACAAATAAAAAGTGTTCTCGTCAGCAAAATATGTAGCTTCTTAGAATTAGCAGAAAGATACCGTTGATGCATAGTAGTAGATATAAAATAGGAGGAAATATGTCAATTCAAATTCTAACCGCTCTCCAACAATGCAGTGAGAAAAATTAACCTACAAATTACCATCATAACAACAATTACGGTACTGATAGTAACAAGCTCAAAAAATTAGAATAAAAGAAAACACTCAATTCTAATAGCTTTTATGCGGTGCTTTCATCACATGAACATGACTAGTAATTATTTTTGTCCCAAAGTATTCCTTTAGTGGATTCGGAAAAAGAGTTAAAAAGCGTAAACTGAAAGGTAATGCAGTTTCTCGTCAGCTGGATAATAGCTAGTGCGATTTACAATTAGAATGTGGTTGAGAAACTGCTCTTAACTGTATGAGAAAGAAAAGAGAAAATGCCAGATCAATCATTTAGTAAAAATCATTAAGAAAGGGCATACATTCGCTCGGTTACGAACAAAACTTCTTAACCCAAGCGCTTTGATCGCCTTGAATATCTTAAACTTAGAATTATACGAAACATATAAGAAGTTAGTTAGTGGTTTTATGACGTCATCAATAAATGCTTAGATTCCTCTCAGAAATAAAATTATTTGGATGAATCGTGGGATCCTAGAGCAAAACACGTATTTAACTGACACTGAACCAGTTAAACTATAACTGTCTAAAGTAGTGGAGTCAGTAATTATACGAGGCTTTAAGTAGTCTTAGACCCGAACGTAAATGAGTAGATCATTTGTTCCTTTTGGACTACAGTTCTCATGTTTAGAATTTAATTGCTTTCGATATTAATTCCCAACTTAAACTTTTGATCTTATTTACTTAGACTCGCCTTACTGATGAAAGTTCTATCATTTTGAACTGAAGCACACTCTATGCTAAATCTCACGATAATAATGACTGATGTGTTGTTACCAATATTTTTATGGGAAGGAGTTGATCAGTGATGTTGTCGGTGTAAAATAAGGTCGTCAGATTTCTCACCGAATAACGTAGAGTTTGAGAGGTGAAGCTCACAAAATGAGGATCTGACAACTTTGTCACTTATGCAGGTTTATTTAAATAATACGAACGCTTCAAGAAGGAATCTGCAAATTTGAGGAAATTGATAGAAAGCAAATGCTTTCTTATTGATGACAAATAATGTGTCTCACTAACATAGAGAGAGTTTATCGTATTCAAAAACCAATAATCCTTATATTGAGTGTCTAGTGTTTGAGCATAAAGAAATGCAATTTGGTTATAAACCTAACTTAGTCGAAATTGTTTTGTATATTGATTGATTAACTTTATTGCGACAAGTATAGGATGAACAGTGATATGTATTTATGAAAATGTTAGTACGACAGCATATCAATTAACATCTGAGAATCAATATTTACTAGATGAAGCGCACAAACCTGTTCGGTTTAAATGAGTCATGGAGAGAGTAGCAGAATGAAACAGACTCTTTACTTTATCTGACGTGATGATATTGGCTAGATTTCCAGACCAAGATGGACTATCCTCTAGCATCCAGTAGTAAACTGAAACAGCTACTTGGGTGCCCAAAGGTTTTGTGAGTACTAAGACGTCACCCACTGCAGCTTGATCCGGCCTGTTAAAATTTGATTAAAGTAGGAGACCAAATATTGACAAACCATTAAAAATTAAATGAAGAGTAATGCACTATTAAACCGAGTGGTCAAACATACAACAAATAGTAAACCATTTGTGTAGTAATAATTCACAGTGGTACGAAAAAAGATGGTAGGAGAAAAAAGTGAAAATAGAAACCAAAGATCATCAGGAAGTAATCTACAAAGAGTGGATGACAATTAGGAATGAGGCAAAGTTGTCTATATAATTATAATTCTACGTATTCTGAATATGATAATGTTGGATACGTTTGTATCAATCAAATAGATTCATGCAGTAGACGATGTTTCGTTGTCTGGGTTTATTTGAGCATAGTTTAGTTACTGAAACAAATCTACGATTAGTCGAGAAGTTTGATACCTGGTTTATGTGTGAATATATGCCAATACTATGTCAGACTGATCCTTTTCTAATACATTAATCTATGTTCATTTCTTCTAACAGTTTGCTTCATGGATGTATTGAACCAACATTGCTTAGTATTTAGATAAATGCCAAGTCAATTACTATAAGATGACGTCGCGAATTTGGTCGATAGAAAATTGTCACGAAAACAAATAAAACAGCATGAAACTAATTGGTACTTAGTGGTTGAGTTATTTCCATCTAATTTTAAACACTTACTTGTATATACACAATGTATAACGCATATAACTACATTAGAATTATTGTCAGTCGATGCATAGAAAGTCTACAATAAAAAGCCAACGTGGAAAAATTGCATGGATTGTTTGCCATTGTCAAGCTAAAAACAGCCCATTAGATATGAAGCCCTTTATTCATTTAGCCTAAAATATTAATCGATATGAAATGTACCAACGTGCATTGTACTTGAATGACTTAGTGAATGTGTATTATCGATTTTATGAGTACTGGAGATAAACCATGTATAAGTTGTAAGTGAAACATTTTTAAGTCACAAGAAAATATCAATATTCTGATGTTTCTTTCCATAAAACCCTGAATATTTAGGCACATATGCAAAACACATCCACTGATTTAATTGTACATCAGGAATTAACTACTATAGAAGAAATTCGCCTGTAGTTTTTAACTGATGTAAACAACCGGATAATTGAGGAACTTACATAATATACTCTGAATCACTGCAAACTGAAGTTGCTACACCACCAATCATTAACCATGGACTCAATACAGTTTGTCCTCCACGAACATATGTTCCAGCTTCCAATGCACAGTCCTTCAAAGAGCAGAAAATGTTTTGCAATATGTAAAACAACATAACCTACCTTAAAACCCTCCATCAATAAGCGATTTGATATTTCGCGTTCTTCTTGGGTCATTTCACGTGGAACACCCAACAATAGAAGCAAATTATCACAGTCAACTACGCCCATTGCATACAAATCACTTAGTACATTACAGCACGTAATTCGACCCTGTCTTCTTAGCGTAAAAATGACATTTAACTAACCATAGTGTAAGGATCATCAATCAGAGGATAAAAGAAGTCGGTTGTTTGGATAAGTTTTAAGTTATTTCGAATAGGAATAACACAACAATCGAGTTCTAATGCTTTAATGTCAATAGAAATATGTTAATGAAAAGGATACTAAACAAAGCCTACCCAGTAACGGTTTATTACTTGAAAGTGAACACGGTTGTGGTTGATTTAGTGCCTCAAGCAATTTCTTCAGTTCAGCTTGAGGCACTTTACAACCTCATCCTCTCAGGAATGAAAATTTAGTTAGACGAAAGTCACTCCGAAGTCCATAAAACTCAGGGTTTAAAAACCCAGTCAGTTGGCGACGATCACCCGCACTCATACGTCGATGGAAATACCAAGAAACTACAACAAAAAGAGAAGTTGATTGAATGCTTGATAGATAGAAGCGTTATAAACAAATTATCCGAAACACATGAAGTGTAACAGATCCATGCAATACATAGTTATGGATTATACGTGTGACAAATTCCGTAAATTCTGATAATACTGCCGTCAAACCATACTAAAAACAATTACATGCGCGTAAAGATACCTAAAACTCAATACTTACATACTCAATAACCACTCCTATAGCATAAGATAAATAACAGAGCGGGGAAAGAGTTGAGCAGCAAAAGGAAATATCGTCCACGTGCAAAAATACAAACGGTAGCTGGCTACTAAATCTCATATTCTTAAGGGTGACTGCCAAGAGCATTGAGATCAGCCAGTTTCTAAACACGCTCGAATATGTTGACATCCAACTTCAGAAAATTACACAGTAAACAAATAAAAATTAATTTTATGAAGAGTCTATGACACCCTGTACTGTTTTTTATTAGACAGGTAATTCCAAAGATCGATATGTGTTGTGATTCTCTCTCATTACAACCCAGCTGTTCCCATTGCTTAGTATTCTTGGACACCATTTCACTCGACAAGTCCCCAAATCAGAACACGGTTGAACAGGAACAAAATTATACTCCTAATAACAAGGGTAGATGAAAGTAAGGAGCACAATAAGAAAAATGTTAGTATATTTAACATTTTTACATGAGAAGATTCTAGAGTCTTCTCCAAGTACTAGCCAGCACTGATTGGACAAGAACTAGTCAATCATCGTGCATGGAACATGCTTTAATCAAATCTGTCCCACTGACACCTCCCCTTTGAGCGAATTCGTAGGATCTGGTGCTAGGGTCCAACTACAACCAAGTAACTGGCCTGTTTGTTCCAGGCGTTTTGATTTCAAAGGTGTTTAGCAGAATATCAAAAGTTTATTTATTTGAACACATAAGTATTAGTACAAAGGGGCACCAGATACATATGCGTCACACAATAATAATGAGAAAGGGGAGAGATAAAGCGTGTAAGGTGCGTGTGAAAATAAAAAAAGGACAATAACGACCACAAATTAGTGTATGGTAGTGAAATAATGATAATAATAATAATAATGGGGAAACAGAAAGGTACAACCAGAAAAAATCCTTTCAGTTAAAGAGGCTACGGTCACTTTTTATGAAGAAAGTAAAATAAGGTTACAGCAGGATCGCCACTGGCTTCTATTCTGAGCCATATATAATAACGTCTCTAGTCACTGTGTAGCACCATCTCTCAGACCCCAGCCAGAGTCGTGAAGGACCAACACAAGCCAGTCCTTTGCAGCTTTCTTTCATACAACGACACCATGTCATATACTGACCACCTCTCCGCTTCTTCCAACCAGTCCCAGAGTCGGCAAATAATGCACGACGTGGAATTCTCTGGGACGACATTCGTAGAACATGTCCAAGCTACCGAAGTCGGTGTCTCAAGATGGTGACACCAATTGCATTATCGTCTCTGTGCCGAACACACGATGCCGAACCTCTGCATTACTAACATGGTGTTGCCACTGGATGTCAGCAATCCTTCGGACACAACGATGACCAAACACAGAGAGTCGTCTAACATCCTCAACTCGGAGAGGCCAGGTTTCACAAGCATAGAGCAAAACTGCTCTCACCGACGCGTTGTAGATCCGACCTCTTACAGCCAGACTAACATCACGAAGGCGCCAAAGATGGCCCAGATTGGCATAAGCCGCTCTGGCTTTCACTATACATGAGTCGATCTCATCACTCACACCATCACCAGCACTTATGCAGCTACCTAGATACACGAACTTCTCGACTCCGTCTATCTGCTCACCATCCAGGGTGAGTACAGGATTGGAATCCTGCCAGTCTTGTAGAAGTAATTTGCACTTTGAAGGTGCAAAGCACATACTGTACCTACGGACATTGGTTGCCAACTGATCAAGTGCGGATTGCATGGCTTGGGCGTTATCGCACAGTAAGACAATATCATCCGCATACTCAAGGTCGAGAAGTCTTTCTCCAGGCAACAGATCTACACCACCATTACTTACATCCATCCGAGCTATTTTCAGAATGTCATCGATGGCAAAGTTGAGGAGGAATGGTGAGATTGGGCAACCCTGCCTAACCCCACTGCTCGAATGGAACAATGGAGAGAGGTGGTTGTATGCCCTCACTCTGCCTGAGGTGTTTTTATATAGGGCCTTTAGGATGTTAATAAACTTCTCAGGCACACCCTTCTTCAATAGACAATCCCAGAGAACAGTCCTATCCAACGAATCGAAGGCAGTCCTGATGTCAAGAAACACTACGATTGTTGGCCTTTGATAATTATGGCGGTGTTCTAACATTTGGTGGAGGGTGAAGATATGATCGATACATCCTCGACCAGAACGAAACCCAGCCTGCTCCTCGCGAGTCAATCTTTCTCGGGTTTTGAACAACCTACGAAGTATGACGGAAGCCAATAGCTTGGATGCAATCGGAAGTAGACTTATCCCCCGATAGTTGCTACAGGAACGACTTGAACCCTTTTTAAATATAGGGACAACTGTCGACTCATTCCATGACGTTGGTACACTCTCTAACTCCCAGACCTTTGTAAACAACGTCGTCAATTCCTTAGTCAAAATGTCACCACCATCTTTAAAAAGAGCCGGAGGTAAGTCATCTGGGCCAGGTGATTTGTAACGTTTCAAGAGTTGGAGTTCCTTGCGGGCTTCCGCCTCATTTGGTGGATCAGTCGTCACCGGCCATGGAGGGCAGGACAGTCTGACCGATGTTGCCGGAGCAGCAGGCCAGTTGAACTGCCCTTCGAAAAATTCTGCCCATCGTCCAAGACGTCGATGGATGTTAGTGATCGGCATCCTGTCAACCTCACAGATTGTCTCGCTCACACCAGACTTCTTGCTGCCAGTGGCTCGGATGAGTTGGAAGAGCTTCCGGTAGTTACCAGATGCAGCTGCTGCTTCCAGCTCATTAGCACGCTCCGACCACCGGGCTTCTCGGTCCTTACGCAAGCTTTGCCCAATTTCCTTACGTAACATCCTTCGTTTGTGGTCAAACTCACGGTCACCCGGAGTATACCGACGGGCTTCAGTGAATTGTAAGGAACCAGAAAAAAACCAGTGCTGATAAGCGAGACGTTTTGCGAAGCCACAAGCGGCTTTACTCGCCATTTTGATGGCGTCATGAAGTTGCAACCAATGCTCATCGATACTTTTCGGTGGGATGGTAGCTAGCCTAGAAGCTAGCTCGGTTCGATACTTACAAGGAACCAACTTACTGACATCAATCCTTTGGTGGCGGTCACTTCGTTGACCACTGAAAAGTAAGGTAAGATTGGCGCAGACCAGAGCATGATCAGAGTCCAGATAGGTACTCCAAAAGGAGCGGCAGTCTTGTACACATCTACGTCAGCGGTAGCTGATCGTGATGTGACCAATCTGAGTTCAAGCTTGAGATACAGAAAGAGGACGCCAGGTGGCACATCGGCGATGACTGCGCCGGAAGTTAGTGCTAGCCAGAAACAGGTTGTGGTTTGTGCAAAGTTGCAGTAGACGGTCCCCGTTATCTGTCCTGTGATCAACAAGCCCCCCGTCGGCCACCTAAACGATTCTCTTCTGTGCCTAGACGCCTGACCTAAGTATTCAAGTCTCCGGCTAGTAATACAATATTTGTCGAACGCACTTTCTGGAGAACAGTGAACTGGTGGTAAAACTCATCCTTGATTGCATCCGGGCTGCAATCTGTCGGGGCATAGGCGGAGATGACGAAAAGACATCGTTTCTCACGCTGATTTCTTCTCACTTTGATGGAACTCTCTAATCTAACAGCACATAACCGACTGTTAATCGGGATCCAATCGATTAGTGCTGCCTCAGCTCTAGCGCTTAGTGCGACACCATTGCCAGCAAGACCAGACGCAGATGCCACAGGGTCCCCGGATAAACGCACGTAAAACAAGCTTTTCGAAGCGACAGATGGAGAGCGAATTTGTAGTACTTCACCAGAATCTTGAATACGGGTCTCGGATAGACAACAAACATCAATATTAAGACTTTCCAAAGACATAGCCAGCCCTATCTGTTGTCGGACCTGCATAAGTGTGCGAACGTTGAAGGCAAAAACTGCTTCAGTACTCATATACAGTGGTAACATACAATTTTCAACCAGGCAGTAACTCGAGAACGTTTAGATAGAACCGAGTTTACACCATAACCGAGCTGCTGTATAAGTCGAAAATTAAGGATATACAAAGTGGGAATAAGAGAGTGAATAAGTGACGTGGTCAATAATAATAATAATAATAATAATAATAATAATAATAATAATAATAATAATAATAATAATAGTAGCAGTAGTAGTAATAGTAATAGTAATAAAAATAATAGTAATAATAATAATAATAATAGTAATAATAATAATAATAGTAGTAGTAGTAGTAATAGTAATAGTAATAAAAATAATAGTAATAATAATAATAATAATAATAATAGTGTGAATTGTTTGACTGCTAATCGAAGCGTGAATAGAATTTTCAGTAAATATCGTCAACTTCATTTTATTTGTGTGTGGGCTGTGATACTGCCCGGGTTCCCACACCGAAGCAGGTGGTTTTCTCAGGGGCCACACCCCGAGCCTTTGACCTAAAGGTCTGACGCACAAGACAGTGGAACATCGTGAGCAGATGCAGTCCCATGGTAGCCAGTGACCAACGATTGGTTCATATGCCATTTATTCCCTCAGGATACTGGAGCCCATGTGCACCATTGGTTTGGGGTCCGGTTAAAGCGCCAGACATTCACTTTTCGTCCTCTCATTTTCGTAAACAACACCCGTGGTGCGAGAAGGCAGTGAGTAGGACTTCCCTGGCAGAGGCTGTATACGCGTGGCCGTGTGAGAGCATTTCGAGAGGGAGGGCAGGCCCACCCCTCTCGGTCATACCAGGGCATCTGGGGGGCGACCACTGCTAAGGTTTATCTTTTGGTAATAATTCACTTAGGGGACCTCTCACTCAATGAATTTCAGATAGGAATGTGCTGTAGTGACTGATTAACCCCAAGAAGGATCATAATGAGGGAACATCAGTTGATGAAGGTATCTTCTGAATGATTTCGATGTTGGCAGGGTCTGATCGGCGACCGTTCTTATCTAAGATGAAACCAAGGTATTTGATCGAATGCATGAAGAAGACACACTTTTCTTCACGTAGTTGGAAACCATACTCCAACACTCGGTTAAGGACTTGATTTAGTCGATCAGAAAGTTCACTGTCAGTTGAACCCATAACTATGATATCATCTAGGTAAGCTGCTGTACCAGGTATACCTGTTAGCATCGTATTCATTATTTGCTGAAAGAAGGCAGTTGCGGTCGTGAAGCAAAATGGTAGACGAGTGTATTAAAATAACCCTCGATGAGTGTTAATGGTCAGAAGCTCTTTGCTATTTTCATCTACTTCCACTTGGAGATAGGCATCGGAGAAGTCTATTTTCGCGAAATATGTTCCACCATTAAGCTTGGCAAACAAGTCTTCAGGAACTGGTAACTGATATACATCCAATACAGCATTTAAACCGGTTGAGAAATCGGCACATATGCTCATAATTCCATTGGCCTTTTTAATTAATACGATCGGTGAGGCCCATGCAGAGTAGTTGACTGGTTGGATTACACTAGCTTGTTGCTAGCGATTAAGTTCCTGGTCGACTAGTTCGAGCGCAGAATATGGTACAGGACGTCTCGGACGAAAAACGGGTTTGGCATCTGGCTTCAATGGCAAGTGAGCTTTCATCTTGGTACCGTGGCCAAGGCTATTCTAGAAACAGGCAAATTTTCTCTTCGGTTTTTCTAGTGATCTTTCACCTGTCTTTTTTGTAAGTGCCGGGGTGTCCAATGATGAACACGATAGGTTGCAGACATTGTTAGTGGGTATATCCATTATACCAGGTTTTTCTAGCATATCTAGACCAAGAAGATCAAGGTTTGGCCGTTCTCTTAGTTAGCATATTCCTGTACAGTTAGTTCCATTGAAAGAAAATTCACACTGTAATTCATCAATCAGTTTTAGCACACCATCTGATGCGTTTTTAGCAGTTTTCTTAGATGGCTTGATTGACGGTCTCTCAAGCAAGTCATACTTATCTCTAGACACTAGTATGACATCGGATGCCGTGTCAATTTGAAGACGAGCTGATATGTAACTTATTATTAGGTTTCCCAGATATTTACTATTTGTAGTCTTTATCAAGCAACAGAGTGACAACAATTAGCTTTGATTTTCAGAGGCAGGATATAAGAGTAGTCTTGCACCGCACAAGACTAATACGAAAAAATTAGATAGATTATTCTTTATTCTCGACAATTACGCTCATTACATACAATCTCTCTTCAAGCAACGTGATATAAATTACATACCTAAAACAAAACAAAATTATTTGTTGACATTCACTTTTGGTCAATATGAATCAGACAATTTTGCTTGTGAACACTGGTTTCCTATTACACTCTACAACATTTGTCGCACAAAAAAACTATGTACTTGCAAAATAACCTGAAATATCTAGTAGCAGAAATAATTGAGCTTTGTCGGAATTTGATTCACAATTATTGGTTAATATGGTACTCGTCTGCACTCAGTTTTACACATTGTTTTAACCATTAGACTGTCTCATATTGACTTAATTAAAAAAAGGTAGATAAACATATCAAATAATAGAAACGACATCTTTGTGCTAAAAACTAACATATCATTTTTCGTTACAGACAAACAACAATAAGAATAATTTATCCAAACAAACTAACGAAAAGTTTCCACTTAATGAATATGGCTAATACCATGTAATTTATCAGTGAACGTAACTAAATATATGAAGCGTTTCTAGTACCCAAGACGTGTCTATCAGGATTTAGGTGTTTACAGGGAGTTTAGTGTCCTGTTTTAAACAAATGTGATTGAAATGCATGATGCGTTTCAACTCTAATTTTTCCTGTAATAGGATGAACGAAAAACAAACACTGAGAGTTTATCTAGATAGTCAGAGAAGTACATGAAGCATAGGATATTTGTTTAATTTCATATGAGTTATAGTGCTGTCGTTGATCATTAACTATTTATCCAATAACTGCTGAACTAAAAGTACTAGGGTTATACTCCTGTTTTATCAGAGATTCTGTTGAATATATATACATCTATCTTTTTGAAACCCTACCATTCTAAGCAGTCATTAACCGAATACGTTTGCTGTAGATGTAGGAGAGTAAAAGGTCCAACAAGTATTCTGGGGGCTATGTATAATACTCTAGCTGAGAACAAATTCATATTAAAAAATTAAAATAAAGTTTTCTATAACCGCAATATGGTAGTTAGTGTTGAGCAATATACATAGTCAGTTCAGTCATAGTAAAAACAAACGTAGTCATCATTTTTTGTTGAGCACAGTAATGTTTTTCGCGTCTAAAATCTTGAAAGAACTTAAGAGTATGAACTAGTTTAACACAAATGAATTCCCACCTTGCTTAAACATTTGGTTTGGGTTACGAATGACTTGACTGGAAAGTACACGATTCATGTTAGCAAAGTAGGTACGGCCACGTCTTTTAAGACTGAAATTAACATGACAAAAAACTAACTAAAGAAAGTGAACGTAGCGTTATAAAATAATATTTAAAGGAATTGTTAGTTTCACTCGATTCATACGACTTCACGAACCACATAATCAGTTTTGGGAGAGAAAAAGAATGTATAAGGAGAAAAACGTAACCGAATTCCGAAAGTAAAATGGCTTAAAAAGCCAAGAAATTAAACGTCTAAGTTTGATATTCACGTAGAAACTTTAATCTTGCAAGAACTCCTTAAATATGTGGAAAGTACTTAAAGAGCTTACAAGTGAGAGACATTAGTGATGATGGCCGGCTGAATGTTTGTGACGTAAATTAGTCTTTTTGCGCTCATTATCTGATGTTATGTTTCCAAAATCTACAAGCTTGAAGAGGTGTTGTGTTTCAATTTGTATTGAAACTGATTGAAAATATCTCGTCACTCAATTCTCCTGAATATTTAGGACCTGGTAAAATCTTAAATCTTTTGGAATATGCTAACGTTTTGTGTTGTTCATTCACGAGCATTTTTAACAAGTCTTTCTAAACGAATTCCATACTAGAAATCTGGAAAAAGATAATCCAAATAACAAAGAAAGTGTCTGGTGACAAAAATGCAAAATTTGGACCGACAGCAATAGGCTAACTTTTTCTCAAAACAACAGAAAAACTATTTCTACACCTATCTCAGCCTACATTAAAAGAGTAAATCAACACATAACAGTTTGCTTGCAAATACAAAAGAAGTACCATGGATGCTGTTGTCGTTCTGCATCATAATACAGTGTCCAACATAGAAAAGTTAGAAGCATTTTCGATGCGCATTTCTAGACTATACGTTTACCTCTGACTCTATTCCAATACCACTACTGTTAAACAAGTTTGCCAGTGTCTTTCGACAGCTGGATAACCAACTGGTTGTATTTCTACCTCTGTGGAAGAGAACAATATACTGTGCTTGGATGAAAGTATTTTACATATTTACTAAGAAGGTGAACCATGATCTGTTTGTTTTTCTTTTCTCATTTTTTCCACGAAATTTCATGTAAAACAGTTTTGTTAAGTATGCAGATAATCTAACTATATATATATATATATATATATATATATATATAGTCTGTTTACATCCCATTGAAATGAACGACCACCTACCACACACAAGCTAGTCGTTTGGTAGAACGATCCTACCGACGGTTAACAACCTTCTGATACTTTTTCACTCTTTTTACTCGGAATCATTAGTGCAATGAAAACCAACGTTGGATCTCATGTAGCTGAGCTTCTTTACAATAACTCCGACTCGCGAGAGAACTCGTAGATCTTTCATTTTCTTCACTGAATATGAAGATACACTTCCCTCATGAACCGAAATACGAATGCTGTAGTCTTAGTAAAGCCTCCTCTTAACCGACCACGATGAACCTGATATAGTAAATACGTTTCTGTACAGTGAGATTCAACACGCCGACCTGTTGATGTGGCTCATTACAGATCATGTAAGGCTTGGAATCGTGGATTAAATCACAATACCACTGACAAGAACGTGATGCGAGACAACGTCAGCATAGACTGAGTGGAGGAAGCTTACTTAGAAGAGAACTTAGTAGAGATTCTCACTACACTAGACAACACCAGCAGTGCAAAAATCACAGCACAACTAACAATCAGTGACCACGAGAGGACTGCAACCGTTTGAATCAGGTGGACAAAATAGGAGTTTAGGCTGAACCGTGAAGTTTTCAAAACATCTGAAAGATTGCTGCACGGAAGACATGTAGAAGCCTTGCGTTCTTTTACGTTTATCTACCACCAAACACAACTTCATCCTGTCTTTCTAGTTTCTACCTTAAATATTATTGATGGACGCGTGTAAAGCAGTGGCATTATGTTCTCTAGTTTTTAGAACATTTTCAAACATAAAGCGTAGCCCAGAAATTTTGAGATATAGGTTAACTAATGTGCGCATAGCTAAAGCGTGTGGGTCGCAGACCACTAATACAAAACGGCCAGTTTAAGCACTTTTTTATAGAAGTGAGATGACCGTAATAGCGTAGTTTTGCTTAACGTAGTTCCTCATTGGCAACTAACCTCATCTCCCAATGGCGAGACAATAATTTATGAACGAACTAATAACACTCAAGAGAGCAGGTCTTAAATTCGAGCGCGAAATTAGTTTACTCATCTGGTTAAATCCCATTTTGGCATTAAAGCTCATGTTAGTTCGTGATGAAAATATTAAATCTAATTCCTAATCGTAACATCCAACTGTGAATCCTAATGCTAATTCCTCACACTAATATATGAACTTCATTTAACCCTGGTAAGTAGGTGGCCGTTCCAAGGTCATTTAAGCGCTGCTGAAAGATCGCCTATTTATTAGTCTTACCCTCGGGACGTTTGGAGAATTTCCGAGACGTCCCATCGAACCTTTGAGGAAATGTGACAAGTGATTTTAAAAGTTTTACTGGTTTGTACCAAGAATATCCATTGGATAAGGGGAGGAGGGAACCCACAAATACGGCGAAACTATAATTTATGGCCGAACGAATCACGTATAAGATAACAGGTCTCGGATTTTGGCGCGAAAATCACTCATTCGTTTGAATCGTTTTCGCACTATGGCTGATTTCAGTTCATGACGAAAACCCTAAGTCTAGTTTATAGTCTGTTAACCATAATTCTAATTCTTTACACAGGTTTGTAACCTTCATTTAGTTCTGGTCATTACGTCGACACTTCCAAGGTTCGTCTAGCGTCGCCCAAAGGTCGTCAACAAATTGTAGTCTCTCCATAAAAACCCTACGATAACTAGGGCAAGTATCCATAAAATTTGGGTGAACTTAGTGTTCGGTCACTACCAAATGATTGTTTCGTATTAATAACATTGTGAAAAATGTCGATTAAGAATCTGTCAAATGAGAAGCCATAGCTGTGATATGAAGTTCATTGTATATGAAAATCTGATAGGGCTCATAAAGGAGGTAGAAAATTGGTAATTCAGTGAAGTGATAGGATCCACTTACATTTAGCGGCGAAATCTGCAAACAACGAGACACGTGACTTCAAATTTACGAGCGCTCCGACAAGGTCATGACGACATTTAATGGCGGGTAAAAAGAAATATAATCCATATAGCTGAACAATTTATTTATTACTTTCTTAACATACATTACTGCTTGCTCAATCTGTGTGACTTCGTGCAGTTCAAAATTTTATTTGACTCTTGTTGGGTCCTGTTGCTTTCTCACTTTTGATTGCCTGATGATCGGCCATCCTTATTTTCTCGATCGTTAGTTAAGTGACATATATAGGAAGGTTTGTATGTGCTGCTTCGATGCTCGGTGGATTCAGTGAAGCTGGCCTATTCAAAACTCCCTCAAAGTGTTATACCCATTTGTTTCTCTGTTCTTAAATCTTAGTGATTGACTTGAATTATTTGTCCTTGACCAGCCTCTCTGGTCTACTATATTTCCCTGTCAGTTTCCCAATTGTGTTTCGTAGTTGTTTCATATCTTCTTCTCTTGCGGCTTTATTCGCTGTCGTCGCTAGGTCTCCCACGTAGTTCTGTTTATCGGCTCTAGTGCTCCTGTTCGGCTGCAATTAAACGCAACTCAATTTCGTAAATGTGCCCTTCAGCTTAGCAACCAATCAGAATGAGGCGGGAATTATTACATCCGCCATCTTCGTAAGCAATGGCGGCCAGCCTTCTTCGTTCTGTGCTTCTTTCAGCTATTTCTTTTGTGTAGCTGTGTAATTTAATGTCTCAGTGTGCTAAAATGCCGCAGTTAGTGTAGTGTATTATATGTTGGTGTGAAGTTTATTTCGAATCAGCGATGTTTTCTGGGTTTTTGCTGCTTCTACTCAAGTCAATGTATTTCTTCAGGCGATCTGGCTAGTCTTGTGTTATCGGCAAAACGAAAGGAAACAATCTGCGCTTTTTTAAATTTTCTTCAGTATTATGGACAACACTATCCCACCAACGAGTCAAACTTGTAGCGGTAAATAAATCCCCAAAATAAATAGCTCTAAGTTTTCGACATTGGATGCTGACCATATGTTTTAGTGGACTCATCTAGCTGAAGGCGCTCGGTCAGGCATCCGTACCAGATCACGTGTGGTAACGCCGTGCTCAACATAAACCGCAATCGCTAGCCAGATTAGATCAGAGAATTCCGATATAT